CAGGCAGTGCTTGCTCTTCAACATACTGACATACTCAGGCAGTGCTTGCTCTTCAACATACTGACATACTCAGGCAGTGCTTGCTCTTCAACATACTGACATACTCAGGCAGTGCTTGCTCTTCAACATACTGACATACTCAGGCAGTGCTTGCTATTCAACATACTGACATACTCAGGCAGTGCTTGCTCTTCAACATACTGACATACTCAGGCAGTGCTTGCTCTTCAACATACTGACATATTCAGGCAGTGCTTGCTCTTCAACATACTGACATACTCAGGCAGTGCTTGCTCTTCAACATACTGACATACTCAGGCAGTGCTTGCTATTCAACATACTGACAATACTCAGGCAGTGCTTGCTCTTCAACATACTGACATACTCAGGCAGTGCTTGCTGTTAGAGGAAGGATCACATTAATTGCCATCTGTTGAATTTCATGTATATTTATATCTTGTAAGCAACTTTCAACACCGTTTGAGGAAGGCGTAAAAGGAATTTTCAATACATGTGCGGTGATATGGACCACTGAATATCAGGGGAGGAATAAAATGTCTTTGTTAATGTAATTGAAATCCCGTAGCCCGTGACAAAACACGAACATAGGTAATGTGGGTTTTCTGAATTTTCCACTGGCGCATCATGAAATACAAGTAGGGCTGATGCATCACGTGGCTTGGTCTCCGTAAAGGGGGACAAAGGTTGTTTAGCAACGCCACCAAGTCATTGAAACGAACACCTCGTGATCACAATAAGATTCCGTTGCATTAGATATCAACTCGCGGCGTATTACAACACGTACTTAAAATTCGTTAATGTAATCCGATTTTCGCTTTTCACATGAATCACGTTTCTTCTATAGCTCTGTAATTAACTGTGGTCGCGTTATCGAAATATACTAGTCGTATGTACTAAATTAGGAAACTTTACGTAATTAATCAGCTAATTGTTTGATATAAATGTTATAAATTAAAAGCCTGCTATGTGTTTCTTTTAAATAGCAATAACTTTCTTTCGTTGAGCTCAAAAAGAGAACACACATGAATAGACATGTAGACGTATTAACGGTTAACAGAGATTATATATAGAGCATATTTATAAACGCAACTCAAAGAAATAATATAAATGAGTAAATGTTGCAATTTTCTAACATTATGGAGAGATTACATATTGTCAAACTGTAGCAGTAGCTTAAGCCGAAGTGATATCTGTTATGGGTAATATCAGCGTGAAGGGTAGTGAAGTACACACGTGAAGAGTAGTGAAGTACACACGTGAAGGGTAGTGACGTACATACGGGAAGGGTAGTGGTTGGTTGGTTGGTTTGTTGTTTAACGCCGCACTCAGCAATATTCAAGCTATATGACGGCGGTCTGTAAATAATCGAGTCTGGACCAGACAATCCAGTGATTGATATCATAAGCATCGATCCACGCATTTGGGATCGATGACATGTATCAACCAAGTCAACCAAGCCTGACCACCCGATCCCATTAATCGACTTTAACGACAAGCATAGTCGCCTTTTACGGCAAGCATGTGTTGCTGAAGACCAATTCTACCCCGGAATCTTCACGGGTCGGAAGGGTAGTGAAGTACACAGGTGAAGGGATGTCAAGTACACACGTGAAAGGTAGTGAATAACACACGCGAAGGGTAGTGAAGTACACACGTGACGGGAAGTGACGTACACACGTGAATGGAAGTGACGTACACACGTGAATGGAAGTGACGTACACACGTGAATGGAAGTGACGTACACACGTGAATGGAAGTGACGTACACACGTGAATGGAAGTGAAGTACATACGTGAATGGAAGTAACGTACACACGTGAATGGAAGTGACGTACACACGTGAATGGAAGTGACGTACACACGTGAATGGAAGTGACGTACACATGTGAATGGAAGTGACGTACACACGTGAATGGAAGTGACGTACACACGTGAATGGAAGTGACGTACACACGTGAAGTGGTGAGGTGAGGTGAAATTGGGTTTAACGTCGCGTCCAAGATTATTGCACTTATATAGCGACGTGCATGCACGTGTATGTGTGTGTGTGGCTGCTTGTACTAGTCTGGACTGATGCCGATTTATAGTGCTAGCTCACTGAGATACCATGCTGCAGTTTAACAGTATACTGACTCCGAGCCAACCAGTCCTTGTTTTAGCACCTTAATGTCGAGCGCCAGACAGGGTAACAACAAGTACAATCTTTTAACGTCTTTTTGTATGACGCGGCCCGGGATCGAACCATTGACCTTCCGCTCTCCGGGCGGACGCTCTACCACTAGACCACGGAGGCGGTCACACGTGAAGGGTAGTGAAGTACACACGTGAAGGGTAGTGAATAATACACGGGAAGGGAAGTGTAGTACACACGTGAATGGAAGTGACGTACACACGTGAAGGGTAGTGAAGTACATACGTGAAGGGTAGTGAATAACACACGGAAAGGGAAGTGTAGTACACACGTGAAGGGTAGTGAATAACACACGTGAAGGGTAGTGAAGTACACACGTGAAGGGATGCCAAGTACACACTTGAAGGGTAGTGAATAACACACGGGAAGGGTAATGAAGTACATACGTGAAGGGTAGTGAAGTACATACGTGAAGGGATGTCAAGTACACACGTGAAGGGTAGTGAATAACACACGTGAAGGGTAGTGCAGTACACACGTGAAGGGATGCCAAGTACACACGTGAAGGGTAGTGAATAACACACGTGAAGGGTAGTGTAGTACACACGTGAAGGGATGCCAAGTACACACTTGAAGGGTAGTGAATAACACACGGGAAGGGAAGTGTAGTACACACGTGAATGGAAGTGACGTACACACGGGAAGGGTAGTGAAAAACACACGTGAAGGGTAGTGAAGTACACACGGGAAGGGATGTCAAGTACAAACGTGAAGGGTAGTGAATATTACACGCGAAGAGTAGTGAAGTACATACGTGAAATGTAGTGAAGTACACACGTGAATGGTAGTGACGTACATACGTGAAGGGTAGTGAATAACACACGTGAAGGGAAGTGAAGTACATACGTGAAAGGTAGTGAATAACACACGTGAAGGGAAGTGAAGTACACACGTGAAGGGTAGTGAATAACACACGTGAAATGTAGTGAAGTACACACGTGAATGGTAGTGACGTACATACGTGAAGGGTAGTGAATAACACACGTGAAGGGAAGTGAAGTACATACGTGAAAGGTAGTGAATAACACACGTGAAGGGAAGTGTAGTACACACGTGAATGGAAGTGACGTACACACGGGAAGGGTAGTGAATAACACACGTGAAGGGTAGTGAAGTACACACGGGAAGGGATGTCAAGTACAAACGTGAAGGGTAGTGAATATTACACGCGAAGAGTAGTGAAGTACATACGTGAAATGTAGTGAAGTACACACGTGAATGGTAGTGACGTACATACGTGAAGGGTAGTGAATAACACACGTGAAGGGAAGTGAAGTACATACGTGAAAGGTAGTGAATAACACACGTGAAGGGAAGTGAAGTACACACGTGAAGGGTAGTGAATAACACACGTGAAGGGTAGTGAAGTACACACGTGAAGGGCAGTGAAGTACTCGCGTGAAAAGTAGTGAAGTACGCACGTGAAGGGGAGTAAAGTACACACGTGGAGGGTAGAGAAACACACACGTAGACGGTAGCGAAGTACACAAGTGAAAGGTAATGAAGTACACATATAAAGAACGGTAGTAACGTACACAGGTGAAAGGTAGTGAAGTACATACGTGAAGGGTAGTGAAGCAAACACGTGAAGGGAAGTGACGTACACACCTGAAGGGAAGTGAAGTACACACGTCGACGGTAGTGAAGTACACACGTGAATGAGTGTGAAGTACACACGTGAAAGGTAGTGAAGTACACACTTGAAGGGTAGTGAAGTATACACGTGAAGGGTAGTGAAGTACACACGTGAAAGGTAGTAGATTACACACGTGAAGGGTAGTGAGGCACACACTTGAAGGGAAGTGAAGTACACACGTGAATTGAAGTGAAGTACGCGCGTGAAGGGTAGTGAAGTACACACGTGTATGAGTTTGAAGCTCACACGTGAAAGGTAGTGAAATCCACACGTGAAAGGTAGTGAATTACACACGTGAAGGGTAGTGAGGCACACACATGAAGGGAAGTGAAGTACACACGTAGACGGTAGCGAAGTACACAAGTGAAAGGTAATGAAGTACACACATAAAGAACGGTAGTAACGTACACAGGTGAAAGGTAGTGAAGTACATACGTGAAGGGTAGTGAAGCAAACACGTGAAGGGAAGTGACGTACACACCTGAAGGGAAGTGAAGTACACACGTCGACGGTAGTGAAGTACACACGTGAATGAGTGTGAAGTACACACGTGAAAGGTAGTGAGGCGCACACTTGAAGGGAAGTGAAGTACACACGTGAATTGAAGTGAAGTACGCGCGTGAAGGGTAGTGAAGTAAACACGTGTATGAGTTTGAAGCTCACACGTGAAAGGTAGTGAAATCCACACGTGAAAGGTAGTGAATTACACACGTGAAGGGTAGTGAAGCACACACATGAAGGGAAGTGAAGTACACACGTGAAAGGTAGTGAAGCACACACGTGAAGGGTAGTGAAGCACACACATGAAGGGAAGTGGAGTACACACATGAAGGGAAGTGAGTGAGTGAGTATGGTTTTACGCCGCTTTTAGCAATATTCCAGCAATATCACGGCGGGGGACACCAGCAATGGGCTTCACACATTGTACCCATGTCGGGAATCGAACCCGGGTCGTCGGCGTGACGAGCCAACGCTTTAACCACTAGGCTACCCGACCGCCCCTGAAGGGAAGTGAAGCACACATGTGAAAGGTAGTGAATTACACACGTGAAAGGCAGGGAACAATGCACGTTAAGGGTAGTTGAGAGACACATCACGTGTGTATGGGTGAAAATGGATTTCCGGCGCTATTAGCACGAGTCCAGCATCATCACCACGAGGGACACAACAGATGGGTTACACACTGCTACCATGAGGGACACAACAGATCAACAGATGGGTAACACACTGCTACCATGAGGGACACAACAGATCAACAGATGGTTAACACACTGCTACCATGAGGGACACAACAGATCAACAAATGGGTAACACACTGCTACCATGGGGGACACAACAGATCAACAGATGGGTAACACACTGCTACCATGACGGATACAACAGATCAACAGATGGGTAACACACTGCTACCATGAGGGACACAACAGATCAACAGATGGTTAACACACTGCTACCATGAGGGACACAACAGATGGGTTACACACTGCTACCATGAGGGACACAACAGATCAACAAATGGGTAACACACTGCTACCATGGGGGACACAACAGATCAACAGATGGGTAACACACTGCTACCATGACGGATACAACAGATCAACAGATGGGTAACACACTGCTACCATGAGGGAAATTGAACCCTGCCCTCCGGCATGATAAGCGCATGAATTCACCACTACCCTACAAAGAGCGGGCGGAAGGAATTGAAGTATCAAGAAAGACCGTCGTACAAGATGATACAGTTTAGGTATCGAACACGAGATTCCTAGCTAACACGACAACCGATGGTCTACCCTTATGTCACGCTATCTACACGCGTGACACAGGCGGCTCCTCCAGGCTGACCACTGTGTCGTTGCCACATCTTTCACGAGGCTGCATCTGTGGTGAAGTGATATCAAATACTGAAGCGATCTGTGGGCCCCAGTATCAAGTTAAGGCCTCCATTTGTGTGTAGACTATAACTCTATTGTGGAGACACGGCAAACCCAAGTGACATACCTATACGATTACGTACAGACAACGTGACCCGACTCTCGCTCCCTGTTCTCCCTTCCGTCAGCCCCTAGCATGGAGAAAAGGTTCCAGCTGAGCGAGCGCTTTCGTCACGGTGAATGCTTTCGTTTTGTTCTCACAATAGCGAGGACGAGGAGACTCTGCCTTTACAATGTTAGCTAGGTATTTTTTAGTAAAACAATCTTGTATATAAGTTTCCGCTGGAAGGCTGAGTGACATACTATGCGGACCTATCCTTTCTATCATGGAGTATTCCTTGATCAAACCAAACGTACATCCAGGTAAGTAGTCAGGTGGACGTGTTCATCTTGTAAATGTTAGAATATATTTGAAATAATTTGCTGTTAAAGTTTATTACGTATTGACTAACCATGTTTCAAGTACAGGGATGTAGATGCTCAGGTGTCTCTTCAGCCGTAACGCCAGGGACATGTTTCTCAGGATTGTGTATTATTTACAAGCAAATGTCAACATTCTCCTGTTTCCATCGCAGTATAAAAGCACTCTTTATCGTATTATTACACTTAGTTTCTGAAATTGGTTCCAATAATAACTAACATTGTACTTATGTATGTCAAATTGTACCATTCGTGAAACATGTTCCCATAGTGAACGCACATCTGTCATCCGTAATATGTGTTTTCATTGTGTCTTCAATGAATAATATTTACATTCATTATGACCAAAAAAACTAGACAGTCATATCAACATTTTCATGTTCATATTTATGAGAATTAAATTAAAGAAAAACTCTGTTATATTACATAAATTAGATGTAAATGTTCACGAAAGTGCTTCAAGTTTGAAATTTGTATGAACTTGAATTATTATTGCCTTTTGTCGATGTATTTAAGTGTGATGTATTTATAGACACCACAGTAGTCAGGGTCACTGAGGGTGTATGTGATAGATCAATAAGCACTGATGGCTGTGTACCGATCAAACAGATGTCTCCTTAAGTTTGTCTTTTTTACGGGATATCAGAGGCAACAATTCTACTTGAACCTAACAATTCAATTTGTTTATGCTCTTCAACCCACTCACTGGTGGTACAAGAGGAAATATTACAACACTAGATAAATAAACATACATACAGTATCAAGATACAATTTGTATATATAGTATATCCATTTATAGCTATTCAATACATCTCCACGTTTCCCTGATTACTTAACAGTGTTTCAACTTCAGAAAAGACACATTTAAAGTACGTGTATTACCATGTAACTCGTTTTAGCTTAAGATTTACCCGCATATTGTGTTTGAAAGTGAGAGTAGGTCATGGACGCGAAAGGATTTGTTGAAGTGCCACACCGAGCAATGGCAACCTATATCCAGTGACTGTGGTGTGGTGGTTGTCCAGTGTGTATCTCATCTGTCCAGTGTATATATACAATCCCGCTTGTTGATTGTTCAGGGTATGGGGTTAGCGTAGATTGTACATGCAAATTAACCCGTTCTTTCACTACCTGGCTTCATAGAATACTAAATATCAAAAGGTACGCGTGATATTGTATACGGGCATGTCCATGCGTGGATTCAAATACCCCACACACGTATTTCAATGACGGCTACAACATAGATAGCTATGCACCTGTAGCATGCTCTGACAAAACGCGTCTGTCTATACACAAAATACAAACTGACTTTCATTGTGAAAAGTAGGCCGCCTATAGATGAATCAGATAGTATACGATCTGCCTTGTACGGCATCTATATAAACTTGATGTGTAATCTTACCACGAATATGAATACAGCTGTACAGTCGATGAACTGAACCTAATAATATAACTTAGGTTAACATTGATACAACATACTCCTACCATGAATTTGAGAAATACTCGATCCTGATTGATCAATCAGAGGTTTCAAATCACAATAACTAGCTCTCATTGAAACAGTTGAATTAACAACAGCACCACCGCGTAATTCAATATTAGAAAAAAATCTTCTTTCTCAGCCATTGTCTGTAGACATTTTTAAATAATGTTATTTACAAACATAGGCTACTAATTTCAGTTTTCATTTACTGCAGTATTTAAAGTAGGCGTGGTATGTATATATTTTTGCTTATTTTTCTATACGGGTGACCACTTCCTGTTGGCTAAGGAGGTAGCTGTGCCACAAACTGTCAGTGTCTCTTATATACTCGTATATGAGTGAAGCAGGGTGAGGATTGCTCACTTCAAATCGACAATCTACTGAACACATTTCACTCCAGCCATGCAGCTTCACTCTAACGTAAACATTAACGTGTTTATTTAGTCATTGTAGAAAGGAGATAAAGATATTGGGTTTTCAAAATAGAGTTGGATTCCAAATTTAATTTAGGGTGGTTAAATCTACGGGTCACCTAGCTCTACATTGAAAACACAGTAGGCCTATGTTATCTCCCAGCTAACCAGATTATGCTATTGGTCGTAGTGTTCATTTACTGACAGAACTCCGTTCCAAATATGATAAAGTTCTACCTTTAAGACATGTTGTACGTCACAAAGACATATTGTACGCCACAAAGACATATTTGCATCTTAAGGCTGCTTATACTTGAGATGTCGATACAACGTGGTGGCGAGCATCAACAGCTGATAGATTGAGATTGTCTATGTTGTTTGGAAACGTAAGACCGTTCAGGTTACTGTAACCTTTGGAATAGTTGTATTAACCAGACACCCATCAAGTAATATAATGTAACATAGTGCAATCTTGGTCTGCGTTTAATGGTTTCATATTTCATGTACATGGATGCCATGGGACATTTTACTATGAATTCAAATTCATCTTTTTTATTTGCATGTGTAACTCTTCGGGTCTTTCTTTACAGATAGATATCCCTGTGAAGAGATGATTGTGAGAAGTACAAGTGAAGCCAACAGTCTGTGTCTACCTTACCCAATGCTATGATTCTTCCCCACTGATTATTTGTAAAGAACACATCATTAGTCTCAGCCAGGATCACCGACAACTCCCGCAATGAAGTCCTATCCAGGCATAACTAGCCCCACCACCTCGGTCCCTAGAACAGATGCGCGTCCCCAGTCCGTGGAGTTAAAGAACACATCAGTGGCGTATTTACTGGCCATCTTCCTGGGGTTACTGGGTGCCCATCACTTTTACCTGGGAAGGCCAACATTTGGAAGACTGTATCTGTGTACTGGGGGACTGTTTGGAGTTGGGTATGTGGTGGATCTGATTCGCGTTCCGTGGCTGGTAGAAAACGCCAATCTTGAAGTTCGGCATCCAGAGCGACGAGGGACGAAGTACCTGGGAGATGCCTATCTGCTGTGGTTTCCACCCTTTGGCTTACTAGGTGAGGCTGTAGTCAGACCCTCACTCACTGTACACTCGCCCACCCTGTGTGTAACCAGCAATGTAATGTCGCCTTCCCTTGCATTCTTTTTTGTGTAACACCTTTTATTTCAAGTTAGAGGCCACAGGCCCATAGAACATAACATTACAGAAATACAATTACTGATAAAGTGACGTATATAATTTCATTGCATTCAATATGAATTTCGATAGCTGTACAAGAGTAGGTTTATGATTAGATGATATCAGACGAACAAAGGATCCCAGTGACGGATTTACAAAGTCTTTAGGATCAATGTATCGATATCTTAAATCATTTAAAGCAGGGCATACAAGTGCACAATCTACACAAGCGACATTATGGATCGATGCCATTGCGTCTGCCCATTTCGATCATCAACTGATGACAGCCACATCTAAATCTTGACAACGCTTGTTTCAATAGTGTAGAGTCGACTTGTGTAAGATATACCTCGGTCTGTCAAACTGATTTGTAGGTTGAATATGCCCTTAGCTTTGGATTTGATGATATTGATGAATGCCATCGTTGGATGTTATAATCAGATACACGTTGCCCAAACTGAGACATAAAAGATAAACATTTCCAACATCTTGCATAATCCAGGCATAGCCAAAGCCAAACTGGAATAAGATGTGTTTTATTTTAGTGCCCCAGGAAGTTCTGTCTACGCAGTCCAATCGTAACAGCATTAGATACGTTTGCTTCGGAAGTCGGCCATTATTCATAGTGACTAGTTTAGCCCAATATTTTACACATTTTGTTACATAGATCAGGAATAATAGAGGTCGACCACTTTCTCCAAAAACAGCATCATTACAAGCACTGAGAGGCAATTACGGAATTCTTTTTATATACTTAGTCTGAACTCTCTCAGTTTGATCCACGACTTCGTATCCCCATAGTTCGGAGCCGTATGTAAGGATGGGCAGAACCTTGCTATCAAACACCTTTAGTGCAGTCGTAATTGGTAATCCACCACACATAGAGTGCAATCTGTATATGAGTAAGCATACTTTCTCCGCCTGTTTTGCCAACATCTGTTTCGATCTCGTCCAAACCAGTTTAGGTGTAAAATAAAGACCAAGATATTTATAAAAGGAGACGGTTTCGATCTGAGAGCCCCTGTAATACCATTTTTCATACTGCCGTAGATATCCACCATTTCGGAATACAACAATCTTCGATTTTTGTATATTTAGGTACATACCCCATTTTCACAGAAGGTGCTAACGCAATTAATTTGTTCTTGGAGTTTGCCTGCGGAATCTGCAGAGTTAGCGACATCATCACCATAGAGAAATAAGCATATATTAGGATATTCTTCAGATATGAAAATGCCTCTACAGTTTGAAGAAGTCATCTCACTAACCAATTCGTTGATGTAAAATGAAAATAACAGCGGGCTGACCATACAACCTTGGCGAGCACCAACCCAGCACTGAAAAAAGTCTGTGAGACTTTGATCTGTCCGTACACAAGTCTGTACTTTTGAATACATATTTCTTAAAACAGTTAAAATATGTCTATGTATTCCATAGCTAATAAGTCGATGCCAAAGTAAAGTGTGATTTAAGCAATCAAAGGCTTTTGAAAAGTCTATGAAGAAAACATATCACCTGCCACCTGTTGATTTAGAGAGGTATGTTCTAATCATCCCGTAAAGAGAAAACATGTTGTCCACCGTCGAATAACCTTTCCTGAATCCAGCTTGATTTTCAGGAATACCATTATTTTCATGAGACCAATTTTGGAGTCTCTGGTTTAATATTTTGGTGAAAATCTTTCCAATCACTGGAAACAGAGAGATTCCTCTGTAGTTGTTTGGATCAGATAAAGTGCCTTTTTTATGAAGAGGGCATATGGTTGCCTTGCACCAATCAATCGGGAAATTCCCAGTTTTCATTATTTCATTAAACAAATTCATAAGTATCGGAGATATTTGAAATGAAGAATGTTTAAGTACTTCCGATGTACTTCCATCGCCACCGGCAGCTGAATGACATTTAAGATAACGGATTGTCTCTGTAACTTCCTGAAGAATTAAGTCTCTATTAAGATAATCAGGTAGTCCTTCATTGCAATTGTTACAATGTGAATCATGCTCGTATAAATGTTGATTAACTTTATCTATAATAATCGAGATGGTTTGACCAGAGACCATATTATATGGTCTCTGGTTTGACCTGTATTCAGTAACTGTTTGCCACTGACTTTGCTACCTGTAGAAGACGAGTTGGTCTTTCTAAATGATTTAATAGATTACCACAGTTCTTCAGGGTTGTCACGAATACTATAATCTCTGATTCCTTGCCGAAAAGACGATTTATAATCATGACACACTGATTTCAATATTCGCTTCCTTTGTTTATAAATTTGCAAACAAGTGAAGCGTCAGTCAATCTAAATTTTCCCAAGGCCCGATACTTTTCACGCTTGGCTGTCCCACACTGCATGTTCCACCACGCGGGCTGTCGGGCGGGTACAGAGTCACGTGACCCATGTCGTCTGCTCAATGAAGCTGCTACCCGCTCGAAAAGATGGGATATCTTATTGACGGTGTTATCGTTATGCTTATATATTTCAGCATCAATGTCCTTAATCAGTGATTTTGAAACATCATCAGTGATTACATTTGGCAGCTATCTCTCCAAACGTCCATTGTGTAGGGTGTCAGTAACATGTCACCGACTATGTCCATAAGCTTAGTGTTAATATTCAATTCACAAATAATAGGGAAATGATCAGATTCGTCCAGACTCAGCACCCTGAAGTCTATGACTTGCTCGAACAGAGCTGAGGTAGCAAGCATATAATCCCCTGTGTTACATCCACTGTTTGCAGGATGTGTTATTACCTTCCATTGCATCCTCGTTGTAGAAAGCGGCTGGGGGGAGAACGTGTTCTGGTATAAGGACCGAGTAACCAGACTGATTGTCAGTGTCGGTGTTATTGTACATCGACGGCACGGAACGTTGTTTATGCAACAACGACTGGTTTGACTGCTCCATGTGATCACTTATTTATTGATCACCACCGTATAGCTGGAACATTGCTGGCTGGGAAGTTGCAAAACAAACAAGGTAAACATTTCATGTCGCTCCTTGATCAATTCACGTAATTATGTATGTTTAATGTTTGCAGGTTTTCATCATTTCTACCTTGGGCATTACTACACTGGCTTTTGTTACATGCTGACAATGGGTGCTCTGGGCATCTGTTGGTTGTTGGATGCCATATTATTGCCAGTTTTATGGATAAACTGGGTCAACGAGCTCAACGGGTAAGTATACATTATACGTATAATATAGATAGTGGCTATAATGTGACCTGTTTTTCTAACGATGACCAGAAACAATAAGTAAACATTAGCTAATGTCCCCTTATGGACACAGGGTGTGAACTCCATTTATGACCGTTGACTTGCTTAAACCACGTACAACCCTACTGACTCACTCAGCCACCCCTCACTCACTCACTCACTCACTCACTCACTCACTCACCCATCTTCTCCAAAACAAAGTATGGTGCCAATGACTAGGTGGTCGTTTGCCAACGTGTCTGTCCTTATGGTCACAATACTGCTTTACATCTACAGTCATTGTCCTGAAAAGGAACGAAGAGGCAAGCACTTAACTGAAGACCATACAGAAGCTGGCCTGTCATCACTGACGTCATCTGTGGTGATGACGTCACCACCACCACCGTACACATCATTGCTGGAGGCATGTGCAGGTCAGTAGTGCAGGGTCAATACGTCATGCATTAAGACATATTATAGCAATAAACGGAACAAAAGGAAATCGACAGTCACTTTAAAGCTTGTGACCTCAGTCATTTTATTGCCAAACAAATACATAGTTTTCAACTTTCCACCTTATATGAAGCAGACTACGTATCCATAAAATGAGTTGAACGAGCCGAGGTCAATGTGTGCCCATTTGTTTTTGTTGGTATTCCTAAAGGGAAAAATATAATCAAGCGTTCCTTCATCATCGCTTAGTTTTCAATAATACAATATATAAATCGTCTTATCTCCCTTCTAACGTTTGAGACTAGTTGTGCCCGAAAAAACAATAATGTTTTAGGAAACAGCCTTAATACGATTGCAGCCAACGTACATCTGCCCAATACGTGCACACACTAGTAAATCAACGCGTGTTAAAAACATTAAAGCAATGCAAGTTCAAAATTAGTAATTTGAGAGGGAGGTTCTAAAACTAAACGTACATCGTCTCGTCCAGGTTGAACGTGAATGTTGTTAACTTTGCAGATGCCATCAACCCGCCGTCGTATGAACAAGTGATGCTGACGGATGCTGCTGAGAAGAACGAGGGACTATCTATCCAAATAGATAAATAGAACTCTTCATGTTATTCTTCCTGTCCTTATGGAACCACATACATCTGCCATCCCCTTATGAGTCCCACGAAACTGCCCTGTGATACTGTGTTGTTTTAACGTCCACTATCCAGTGATACGTTAACGTGCTTAGGAAAGAGTAGTGAAGTAGAATGATAGGTGTGATGATTAAACTCAGCTGGTCGTCACATCAGCCGAACGTAAAGCTTCATTCATGGCGTCTGTCGAATGCAGTCATACGTGGAATATATCGGTACACTCGAACGTTCCAGTTAATCCAAGGCGGCAACAGTATATAATCTCGAGTTCCGACGGGAACATTGTTTTAAATAAAAAATATAATATTTTATGAATGTTTCAATCTGTTTCAAAAGATGGCACATCTTTTCTTGAGGCATACTTCACGAACATCGATCTACAAGTCAGCGAACCTGACCACAAGACATGTTAGACGCTTCTCAGGACAAGCGTGCGTTGCTGAAAATCTTCACGGGGGCAAACACTCGGTTACACAACCCTGACCTGTGGGAATCACTCTGTATAGCATTGTTGGCAAGATGATAATGCCAACACTGTTACGGGTCACTCGTTAATCTCAGTTACGCATTCTCTATGAAACATGCACAGTCTACGTTTGAACACACTATTCAACTTACAATTTAGCTTAACTTAGACCCAATCACTCGCTATAATTTTCCTCGATTTTTGTTTTTATAAATGTCTGCTCGGCTAGCTTTCCCGTCACAATATCCTCCAAACAAGGTGAAAAAGTATTCCATTCACTTGCAAATAGATACATTTTACAATTTTATGTCCTGGTAAACGGTTCAGGTTATTATATGGTAGACTCCAAATCAACCCGCGACCCCCATATCAGTCCTCTGTCCTGCGGCCCTCGGGGTGGCATGGTGTGAACACTGTCATGCACCAACTTCTAAGTTTCAGGATGACACAAGTACCACATGTGTAAGTCCTGTAGCTGGTAAACATTTTTGAGTATGACTTGAAGAGTGATATGGCAAAACATGACTTATTTATGAAGAAAAGACTACTGTTTTACGGCGTGTTGCTTTGCAGTGTTCTTTAAAGTAAGTGAGTTTGGTTTTACGCCGCTTTTAGCAATATTCCAGCAATATGCCAGCAATATCACGGCGGGGGACACCAGAAATGGGATAGGCTTCACACATTGTACCAATGTCGGGAATCGAATCCGGGCCTTCGGCGTGACGAGCGAACGCTTTAACCACGAGGCTACCTGACCGCACCTGTTCTTTAAAACTGAACACAATGCAGCCATTGTGGTGATTCTGGCGGTACCTGGAACTGAGGAATGACAGACTCGTCTGTGACAGAACAAACTGGAGATCGGGATTAAGATGTGAAGAGCTCAGGCAGTATTACACCTCGGTGATTCGGGAACGCCAATCTGAGCACATCGCGTATTTTCGTCAATACTCTACAGAAAATAGTGTTATTTGTATCAGTGTTTATGCAGAGAATATTTGAATATCGAAGGTTGAAGTAACGTTTACTCTGTTGTGGTTATGTTTTTTAATACAAATGATCACTGCATGTATGTTGGAGAATTTGCAAAATTGCAAACATCCAGCAATAGTGCCTTGTGCCTGTACAGCAGACCAGCAATAGTGCCTTGTGCCTGTACAGCAGACCAGCAATAGTGCCTTGTGCCTGTACAGCAGACCAGCAATAGTGCCTTGTGCCTGTACAGCAGACCAGCAATAGTGCCTTGTGTCTGTACAGCAGACCAGCAATAGTGCCTTGTGCCTGTACAGCAGACCAGCAATAGTGCCTTGTGCCTGTACAGCAGACCAGCAATAGTGCCTTGTGCCTGTACAGCAGACCAGCAATAGTGCCTTGTGCCTGTACAGCAGACCAGCAATAGTGCCTTGTGCCTGTACAGCAGACCAGCAATAGTGCCTTGTGTCTGTACAGCAGACCAGCAATAGTGCCTTGTGCCTGTACAGCAGACCAGCACTGAAGTGCAGTCGAAACTGAAGGTCTGTTTCCAAGTCTCCTTCTGTCTTTAAAACAGTTTTTTAAAATCATAATTATACTTATGCCTGTTTGCTGTTTGCGAGATGTACATGTCCTGCAGCACTATTTGCGTGTTTATTAGGATGGTTCCGGTTTTCGGCGTCCTGTCTCAACCGTCTGTGTTGATTGACATGTTTGTAAGAGCTTGCCCTAAAAGACAAAATCGCGATGTGACGCGACATGCTCGACATTGATTCATCAACCTATTAATGTTCAGTTCTGGCACGAAACACAACGTCCCCAGTTCATGATACTCTTACATCGAATGTATATGTTCATCGTTCATGTTTTGACGCTATCACATGTATACGTTATACCTGGACGTGAAACTTCACAGGATAACCCGTAGTGGAAGCTGAAAGAAAGAAGGATCAGCATCGCCCAGTTTGCTGTGGACTGTTTGAAGGTAGGTGCAAAGACGTGAGCCGCCAGCAGGCAGGATGTGTACCTGTGTATATGCCTATCAAACACTCTGTTACCATGTTTGTTTGTTTGTTTGTGTGTTGTTTAACGCCGCACTCAGCAATATTCCAGCTATATGACAGCGGTCTGTAAATAATCGAGTCTGGACCAGACAATTTCTTATTCACTCATTACTTCTTCAAAAAAAATAAAATAAAATGAAGTCGACGTAGATATTTTCAGGAATTTTCTTGTCCCCTGCTTGCTATTGCAGTGGAAAATTTCTGAATTGTTGAAACAAAGTATACCTGATTCAGAATAATTCATAATCGTAATGTGTGTATATAATGTTTATAGGTTTATAAGTTTTTCTCAATTACAGTAAATGACAGGCGACAATTTTACAATAATGTTTATATGCTTTAGTAGGCTCTTACGAGGGTACTTGCATATACCTCCATTTGTAAATAATGCAGAAACACTGACATAATAATATCATCTGGACCAAAAAAATCGCAGCTTTTAGAGTCTACAAACAGCACAGGTTTGAACACAGTCGGGAGTTTCTTGTCTTGTAGAACGTGTCTGGAGGGAGAGTCAAACTGGAATGGGGAATCGCTATTGTCACCATATTTGTCCCACCTACACTTCGTGACATGGAATGTTGGAACGTTTCTCGCCAGTTGCAGCTTTACTGATGCCGGCTCTTGGAACGACATTTCGATTACATCACGTCACGTTAACAAAATTATACGTGAGAGGAATACAAAACGTGATGCAGATTCTAGATTTAAAAAAACAAACCAGGTGGAACCTGGGACACCGACCACCGAAGACTTAAGGCTCTGTGTAAGATATCTCAGAATGAAAACGTAGGATTAAAATTATTTAAGAGGTTGATTCCATGGCATGGGTTTGTTTGTTTGTTGGTGTGTTAGTGCGCGTCACAGTCACCAATAGTCCATCTACATACAGTGATACACGTGATTACCGGGACTGGTTGTACTTGTCTCTCAGCGACTGGTGCATGAAACACAAAGGACAGCTAATAACGCCTTTTGCTCATCCGCTAAATATATCCTTGCCCTACTCGTTTCACTTGCAAGTAATATCAGACATGTTTACGCTACTGTTGACCGCGATCACATGTCACTTGCTGTATCTCTCTGAAGTGATCACTACGGTTCGTAGGTTTGCAGCCTAGCGTCTGATTGTGTTTTGTTACCAAATTCAAGCCTCTATCGGTACGGAAATATCAAGTGTCTTGTGACATTATTGGATATCGATTTCACGACTGAATTTTTCAGTCGTTGCATTGAACTCGAGTCGACAACTATGAAGTGGATTTATTTCGTGACACTGGCAGAAGTTATGAAGTATATAGTCAGTGACCAACTGTTTGATAAAATGAGCTTTCTTACCAACAGCAGTTTGTTAGGGAATGCAGGCGGCTTGTTGTGTTGCAGTGTTCTGTGTAGCTACACACAATGCAGGCGGCTTGTTGTGTTGCAGTGTTCTGTGTAGCTTCACACAATGCAGGCGGCTTGTTGTCTTGCAGTGTTCTGTGTAGCTACACACAATGCAGGCGGCTTGTTGTGTTGCAGTGTTCTGTGTAGCTACACACAATGCAGGCGGCTTGTTGTCTTGCAGTGTTCTGTGTAGCTACACACAATGCAGGCGGCTTGTTGTGTTGCAGTGTTCTGTGTAGCTACACACAATGCAGGCGGCTTGTTGTGTTGCAGTGTTCTGTGTAGCTACACACAATGCAGGCGGCTTGTTGTCTTGCAGTGTTCTGTGTAGCTACACACAATGCAGGCGGCTTGTTGTCTTGCAGTGTTCTGTGTAGCTACACACAATGCAGGCGGCTTGTTGTGTTGCAGTGTTCTGTGTAGCTTCACACAATGCAGGCGGCTTGTTGTGTTGCAGTGTTCTGTGTAGCTACACACAATGCAGGCGGCTTGTTGTGTTGCAGTGTTCTGTGTAGCTACACACAATGCAGGCGGCTTGTTGTGTTGCAGTGTTCTGTGTAGCTACACACAATGCAGGCGGCTTGTTGTGTTGCAGTGTTCTGTGTAGCTACACACAATGCAGGCGGCTTGTTGTGTTGCAGTGTTCTGTGTAGCTACACACAATGCAGGCGGCTTGTTGTGTTGCAGTGTTCTGTGTAGCTACACACAATGCAGGCGGCTTGTTGTGTTGCAGTGTTCTGTGTAGCTACACACAATGCAGGCGGCTTGTTGTGTTGCAGTGTTCTGTGTAGCTACACACAATGCAGGCGCTGTTGCTACAATGCTGATACCAGGAGCTGCAGGATGACGGGCTTGTCTCATCAGGAGACAAACTTGAAGAACTTGCCCGGGCAGATTACTCAGGTAGTATAACATGCTGGTGATAGCGAGACATGTCGGTAATCATATGTGCATAAAATTAAAGAAAATAAATAAATTAATGCTGCAAAATGAATCGTACTGAATTATTTTCATTATATCCTGTATTATTAAAAAACAATTTAAGGAATGAACATGCAATCAGTATCAATTAGATCAGACTTACACATTTACCTTTCGACACTTACTGCTCCACTTACAATTGCGAGTTTGGTATGTTTCCACCTACAGCTGCAAAACCATACGTATTTTTAATCACAACCTAAATCCCCCAAAAACCAAAAGCATCAAAGCAAAAATATTTTGCAATATTTTTTAAGCATTTCCTGGGATAATTTTTTTTTTAATATTCAGGCTTGTGTTGTGTTGTGTTGTGTTGTGTTGTGTTGTGTTGTGGTGTGTGTCGAGGATGTGGTGTGGTGTGTCTAGGGTGTGGTGTATGTCGGTGTGGTGTGTCTAGGGTGTGGTGTATGTGTATGTCGGTGTGGTGTGGTGTGGTGAGGTG